TTTGGGACCATTACCACATATGCAGTCCATCCTTGAAAATGTTATGCAGTACATGACTGTGTTAAGATGTGGCCAAATTCCTCTCAGAAACAGGACTCTGAGAAATAATGGGGAAAATAGGAGTTTAGTACTCTTAGACTCAAACTGATTTCTTGCCTGAAGAATTCTAGAACTCTCATTTCCAGGTTTTTAAGACAAGATATTCAAGAGTGCCTTTGTGAAGCTGAGAAAAATTTCATGTATGAGAAATAGGCTCAGAATGTTCAAAGAACCTGATGGCCACAAAGTCTCTGAAGGTATAAAAAAGGAGAACTGACTGGTGATCAAAATAAGTAATAATGGCCAGGTTCAGTGGCTCACACCTGTAATTCCAGCATTTTGGGGAGGTCAAGGTGGGAAAACTGCTTGAGCCGAGAAGTCTGAGACCAGCCTGGGCAACATAGTGAGACTCCCGTTTCTACAAAAAAAAAAAAAACTTAAAAACTAGCCAGGAATGGTGGCGTGCACCTGTAGTTCTAGCTACTCGGGAGGATGCCTGACCCAGGAGGCTGCAGTGAGCCTTGATCTCACCACTGCACTCCAGCCTGGGCAATGGAGTCACTGCCTCAAAAAAACTAAACAAAAAGGTAATAATGGTAATAAATAACAGCACTAAGTGGTTTTATGCTGGCACACATACTTTGCATACATATGGAAACTAAAAGTTAACTAATTTGCCTGCCCAAAAAAGTAGAGATTTAGGAGCAAAGTCCTCTGACCTTAAGCCATGTAGGCGCTTACATTACATGTTGTGTTATAGTGCCTCCTACAGGTAACTGGAGACGGCAGAAGAACGGGGAAAAAAAATGATTGCAGTCTCCAAAAAGAGTAAAACAGATGAGGAACCTGTCACTCAAGTTAAGACAAAGGGATATTTATACAGCTGGTACCTGGGGTTGATAACAAGATATCCCCTCAAGATTAGTTATAACGAAACTAAGAAATGATTAGGATCAATTCAAAGTGAAAACACTCAAAATCCAATCAAGGAGACTAATATATAACCTTAGGACACACAGGACTTACTAAAACTGTAGTCCTTAATATATGCATATTGTATAGAACGTCCCAAAGAAAGGAGATGGCCTGCAGATTGCACTGATGGGGGAATTTAAAGGAGTGAACAGGAAGAGACTCATAGTTCAGTTCAAGTTTAGAAAGGTTTTTCCTAGGAATTCCAAGACAAAGATATATACCCAGAGGAGAATACACCCAAGCTGAGGCTAACTTAAGGTTATCCAACTGATGCCCCTTCTTCTGATTTCAGGTTCACTAAAGGAGCTAATTATAATTTGCATTCCCATTCAGATTTACCTGCAGGGAGAGACTATGCTGATAGAGTAATTGGTCCACAGCAGATTAAGAAAATTCATCCCATTTAACATTTTCTAAGTAACCAACCTAGCTCTATTTGGAAAATTAAACTTCCATTTTCACAAGTCCCCTGCAACTCCATCATCTTACTACCTAACTTCAGGAATGTTACTTAACCCTTTAACGCTTTAGATTCCTCTTCTGTAAAATGGGAACAAAAAATAAATACTTTGCAGAATAAATGTGTTTGGCACACGAAAGACAAGGAACTGTTAGTTCCATTTCACTCTATTGCCCAAGCTCACAAAGCTAGTTAATTGCAGAAAGTTGAGATCTGAACCCAGATTTACTCCAAATCCATTCTTTTTCCATTACGACATTCTTTACAGGCTCTAGCCTCAGTTGGGTCACCCTAGACTCTTAGGACAATTTACTTAACCTTTCTCAGCCTTGTATCGTTAAATGACCTTCCTCCTAGGGCTTAGGCAACTAAAATGTGTGCAAAACAACAACAACAAGAACCCTACTACATTGTCCACTGGGGCGGGGGCGGGGAAATTACCCTGTGCTTTAAAGTTAAAGCCCTAACTTCTGAGAAACATGGGTGCTGTGTCTGTGGGTTACTGGTGCGCCTAATTAACCCACAGTAAGTACGCTGAACAGGAGAATCATTCCAATAAACAGACTACTATCTGAGAGCTAACTTTATAAAATCAACGACTGGCTACCAACACGAAAGAATGAATTCCATCTACCACCACAGGTTGCCTTAAAGTCAAAAAGTGAGGACTGATCAACATCTGTTTGGCTTGAATACAGATTATCAAAATAGTAAGGCTTACTATCTTTAGACTGGAAATGTTAAAACAAGGACTAAGAACTAAAGTACAGCTTACTTTTTGTAAGCACTTTCACGGTGTTTGGTAAATAAATTCCCTACCAATCCAAATCCACTACTTGATACAAATAACTACACATTAAACATTTCTAATGCTAAGTTTAAAGTAGTTAATTGTAAGCTGCATTTAAAAATCTTTCTGAAAAGGAACAGCACGAAAAAAATCTCAGCACAGAAATCTGAGTAAACAAGTAAAAACTACAATAATTTACCAAAACCAGGCCTTGGTAAGAAAGTTCAACAGAGATTAATTTAGTAAAATTATACACAAGAGCAAGGAGTTCCAAATAGCATTCTCTACATTTACATACTCTCTCATACTTCACATTATCTTGATCTCATATAAAGAATGTTTTCGGCTGGACGTTTTCCTGAAAGGGGCAGCCTTAAAGGTAAAGGAAAACTGTTTAATCCACTCTTCAAAGAGTTGCCCGATTTGACTTCGACCAGCACACCAAACGTCTGTGAGCACAGAGCAGCTTCTCTAAAATCACAGCTAATAAATTTTTTTTTACCGCAAAGTCAGCCTTTTAGGTTAAAACCTTCAACCTCACTTTCTTTTTGATTCAATCTGATAAGAAATCTGAGTCATAAAAAAAAAAAAAAAAATCCAGCGCTACGACAAGACAATTGTCATTCCATCCCCTTCCCCCCACAACACACAGAACTTTTCAAAACTTGTTCCCAGGCTTTCTCAACCCCCACGCGTAAGCTTCCCGCACCTCTCAACTAGAACGATGTCTTCACCCAGGAAAATGGTTTTGAGATTTTTTGGGGGGGTGGGGGGAAGGGAATGCTGATAAACCTTTCCCTAAAAGATCTCAAAAAAGTAGGAGCAGGATATACTGTACCTGGGCGTTGGCTTCGTGGAGTTTGTGCTCGGTAGAGACGTGGTGCCTCAGGAGGAGGGTTTTCTTGTAGTTGCGGGTTCCTCGCGAAAGCTCATCATGCCCCACTTGGGGAAGGTCCACGCTTCCCCCATCTGCAGGGGTCTTTTGGCACCAACCGCAAGACATAAGACCAGTATCCTTGGAATAGCGCAGCCAGGGAAAGTCCTTGAGCCAGGAGGTCTGGAAGGAACATTGGAGCTTCTGCATTAGAGACTTGGGCCGCGCGAGCGGGAAGTGCTGGACAGTCTCTCCTTCGCCAGCTCCCAGACCACTGCCCTCCACTTCGTCCCCGCCATCGCCGCCCGACCGCCTGCTGCTGCTGCAGCTGCCGCCTTCCGCCCCGCTGCCGTCGCCCAGGCTCGCCCCCTCCTCCTCGTCCTCGGTGCTGTCGCTCAGGGACGCGCCGTCCTGCATCAACTCCTTCCCCTCCAGCGCGTCCAGCTCCAGATCCACAGTCGCCGGCCCTCGCCCATTGAAATGCCTCAGGGGCCACGCCGAGGTCTCGGGGCGGCCGCGGCTACTGCCATTGTTGCCGAGACCCCCGCCGCCGCCTCGGAAGGCCAGAGTCCGACGGTTCCTTTCCGCTAGCAGGGGGCCCCCCGCGCCACCGCCGCCAAGCGAGGTGGGGCCGCCCGCGTCTTGGGGGAGCAGCAACTCCTTGGCTTCCTCGGCGGCGCCGGCGACCGCCCCGGCGGAGGCCTCCAGGTCTTGGGGCTCCAGGCCCTCCAATTCCACTTCCTCGTCGGCCCCCCGCCCATTAGGCTGCTGAAGCGCGGGCGGCGCTGGCGGCGGGGGCTGTCTCGGCTGGGGCTGCGGAGGCCAAGCTGAGGCCTCCCCGCCAGCGTTATTGTTCGTGGAGCCGCCGCCGCTAGCGGTGACCAACCCGCCTCCTCGGAACGCCAGCGTCCTGCGGTTCATTTCACTGAACGACATGGCGCGCGCCGCCGCCGCCGCCCGGTGCCCCGGCTCGCGCACGGCCTCGGGCCGCGTCCCGCGCGCTCCCCGCGGCTCCCCCTCTGTCTCGCCCCCGCCCCCGCCCCCGGCGTTCCGGTCTCGCGGGGCTCGGCCTCGCCCTCTCGCCCGGCAGCCCGGCTCGCGCTCGCTCCCGGGGCTGCCGCACGCGTCCGCTGCCGCTGCCGGGCCGACGCCTCCGGCCGCTCTCTCGTCCTCCACCCCCGCCCCGCCGCGCTCCGGGCAGCGTCCCGCGCGGAGAAGGGGGCGGGCGGCGGAGAGGTGAGGAGCGAGCCGGGGGCAAGCGAGGCCTTCGAAGTTGAGCGGCGGAGTGCGGGGAGACCCTTCGCTGCCCCCTCTTTAAAGCCGCGCGCACACACCGACCCTCCACACAGATATCCTTCCTCCGCGCGCCGAGGAGTCCCGACGCCGCCGCCGGCTTCGCAGGCGCTGAGGGTGAGAGGCACGCTAAGCTGCTCGGCTCCGCCACATAACGAAGCGACAATAAAGCCGGCGGAGCGTTTCCGTCCGACCAGGCCCTGGCGGAGGTCGAATGGCAAATGAACAACGGACCGTGCGCCCACAATGCACCGGGGTAGCAGTAACCGCTGGAGGGGGAAAGGGTGGGGGCCGGGCTGGGGGAGGGGGGCTGGGCTTGGGGCTGGGCTGGGGTGGGGTGGGGGCGCCAGGGGACCAGGAAAGGGGCTGGGCCGCGCCTCCGGCCTGGGGGCGGGGGTGCGGCCGCGGGGAAGGAAGTCGGCCGAGGGGCGGGGGACAAAAGGCCGGGCGGCGGGTTGGGGGTCTCAGGGAGGGGGCGGGCGTGTGCGGCCGGGGCCGGGCTACGCGGAGGACAAACAGCTGGCGAGTGTCAGGGTCTGGCCGCCTCCCCGCTGCCCACACGCACCTACCCGCGCCCGGGACGCGCATTTTCCTTCTCTCGCCACGAGTTCACCTGGGACTTTGCAAATAACTGTGCGGTGGGAGCTGCGCTCCAGCCTTGTCATTTGCTGAGGGTGGGTGGCGGTGCCCAAGGAAGTGAACTTATTTTGTTCCTTCACAAAGACTGGACCAGGCGGTGCCTTTCACGCGAGGAGGTTACGACCACGGACACAACCTCCTCTGATGCATTGTGCGAGGCAGCACCTCGGGCCCAGGGCAATAATCATTTCACAGAAAATGCACCGCCCCGAGTGTCTTATTGCTGTGATGAAATGGAAATTTAAATAAAAGGTCGAACACGTGCGTTCACTGGGAAGTATTGACATGGGTGTTACATCACCAGCAGCCAATCAGATAACTCCAGTCGTGTTTATACTTCTACAACCACCTTGTGAGTATTACAGTATGTCATAACGTTATAAATATTAGGCAGGGTTTTCCCCAGGAGCGGGGTGGAGTCTGCTTCTACGGACATTGTGAGCGGCTCCGAAGATTGTTTAAAGTCAACAATTCATTTTTAAGACTTTTTGAACTGTTTACATTACATGGAATTCAGATTGATTCCAACAGAATGAACTGGAAATGAAATCCCACAATTATGATCGTAGGAGAGTTTTTTTTTGTTTTTCCAATTTAGGGCCCTTATGCTCCTTTAAAAAAATCTTAGTAGGCTAAATTTAGCAAATACTAAAGTGTTAAGACTCATCTGACAACGTGAGAATTTAAGCCTATTTCAGGTTAAAAAAAAGATGTTTTAAAGTTATGGAGGGGCTTTTTACTCTTAAGCAACATATGTATTAGAAGGTGAATCACAAACTAATAAAATGCTCAAGATAATTGTTGACTAAAAAAGAATATGGCAGGGCAGATGTTTTACATTAATACATATGTGCAGAAAATGAGAAATATACATGAACTCTTTACAGTTATAGATTATCTAATGGGGTTATGTTAAAGGCGTGAACCTCCTAAATAATATATTAATGTAAATAAAGATATATGTTTTATGAAGAGAAAGTATTACAATTTTTAGACCTTCTAGTTTTATGATTCTTACTCTCTTCAAAAAGATTTTTTCTATTTCAAAACTAAGAGCAATATGTAAAACTTTGTATAATATGGAATATGGTATGTATTTCAAGGTTACTTTAAAAAGCAAGCTTTGGCTGGTCCCAAGGTAGTGAATTGTCTCAATTGGTTATTCACAGTTGGTTTCCCTTTGTGCACTCTTTCCCCACTTCCACTTGACTAGTCTTTTAAAAATAAATAAATATTTAAATAAAGAAGTCTTCTCAAACATATTATAAAAGGCCGTTTTCCTTAATATTTTTTAAATGGACTAAACACATGAATCCACATCCAGACTCATACTGATTGTATAGATTTATTCAAAGCAACATTCACTTGATTCACTGTAATTTTTAGTACCTGTGTTGATTGGCAGTGTTGTGTATCAAACAAAAAACATTGGTTCTATCTTATAGACTATAGGTAATTTTAATGTAAAGAATGACAGTACTACCCTGCCACAAAAGGATTTTGGCTTTGAGTATTTTTCCAGTAATAAACATATTGTCACTTGGCCACCAGTGCTCAAGAGCTTGAAATTCTGATGCATTTCCTCAGGTGAGTACAGTTGTAGGGTTTTTTGTTTTGTTTTGTTTTGTCCTGCTTTGTTTTAGCTGCTGAGAGGTTTAAGACGATGGAGTTTTTACCCTTCAGAAATAAGAGAACTCTGTCTAGTGAAGCTGTATATAATATGTGCCACATATGGAAGAATGCTATAATAATACTTGTGCTCTGTTTTTAATGTGTGGGTTTTTTTTTTCATTCTAGACATTTTGAAAATACATACATTTATTACATTTTAATCACCACAGCCTCCACCCCCATAAAAACAGGGAAGAGTTACTGAAGTTAATTACTTATCTAGGATCAAGGTGATGGGAAATGAAAATGGACTTAAGAATTTTTATTTTGCTGGGCACAGTAGCTGACGCCTGTAATCCCAGCACTTTGGGAGCCGAGGCGGGTGGATCACGAGGTCTGGAGTTCAATACCAGCCTGACCAACATGGTGAAACCCCGTCTCTACTAAAAATTCAAAAATTAGCCAGGCATGGTGGCGCGTGCCTGTAATCCCAGCTACTCAGGAGGCTGAGGCAGAGGAATCGCTTGAACCCGAGAGGCGGAGGTTGCAGTGAACCGAGATTGGGCCATTGCACTCCAGCTTGGGGGACAGAGCGAGATTCCGTCTCAAAAAAAAAAAAAAAAAAAAATTTATATTTCACCTCTAAAGCTTGTTTTCATTCCAAAACTGTTGAATTCAAATATTTGCTATTTCTCATCTCATATCCTAATACACAGTTGGCACTATATAAGTTTATGTTAATATTATTTTTGCTAATAGTGCCAGAATCAACCAAAAACATTTAAGTCCCTAATTGCGTTATGTCAGAACAGCCTTTTTCTCACACATATATCTTACCTTATGTTTTATAAAATCCTCATTGTCTTCTATCTGAAGTTATGTTTAAACATGGACTAATTAGGAATGAATGACACTAGATTCAAGTGGTACAAATAAATGACTTAAATTCTAGGACCACTGAACTAACAGTATCAGAGTGATGTGTGTGTGTGTTTGCGTGTGGTTGTGTATGCATGCCTGTGTATTTATATATTTATGATTTTGTATGTATGTATATATATGTATTCAGTTTTCTTCCTCTAAGCCCTGAAGGAAGTTGGAAATCAGAAACAAAGCTCCAGGGGATAGTAATCACAAATGTCTCAGAATACTCTGTAAGAAGGGAACTTTGAGTAACAGAAGGGGATCTCCTACACTGTAAATGGAGTTTTTAGGAATTCCCCAAGCCCTTCCAGTCTCCTACTAGCAAGCAGGGATGTGTTCTCCCCTCTAACCCTTATACTTGTTGTTAGGGTACTACCATATTCAAGGGAATTCCCCCTTATGCTTACCAGGGGAACCCCTTAAGAATGGGGCATCCCCAACCAATTTGTCCCCTAATTTCACCTTACCCCACGTAAAACTGCTGTAGATTACACTTGTTACTGGCTCACCATATCTCTGTGATGGGGCTTAGCTTCTATACCTGGCCCAGCTGATCTTTGAGGGTCAAACTTGACTGTCCTTTACTCCCTTAGTAGAGGTACTTTGCCTCTTTAGGCTGTAGGGACAGTAGCCTTTCTGTCTGTGGGATTGACATGAGTCATCCACCAAAATGAAGCACATGAGAACAGGGACTGTCTTATACCTCCATCCCACCCCCACCAGTACATAGTAGGCAAGTAGTAAGTGTTGAATAATTTATTATATCTTCCCTTGCAGTCAATTTTGGTAGGCAACTTTTTCGTCTGTTTCCTTTCCTTTTTTTTTTTTTTTTTGGCTTAGTACAAAAATATTCTTCTTAAAGGTACTGAGTGACCAGGCATGGTGGCTCATACCTGTCATCCCAGCACTTTGGGAGGCTGAGGTGGGTGGCATCACCTGAGGTCAGGAGTTCAAGACCAGCCTGGCCAACATGGTGAAACCCCATCTCTACTAAAGATACAAAATTAACCGGGCACAGTGGCGCATGCCTGTAATCCCAGCTACTTGGGAGGCTGAGGCAGGAGAATCACTTGAACCCGGGAGATGGAGGTTGCAGTGAGCTGAGACTGCACCATTGCACTCCAGTCTGGGTGACAAGTGAAACTCCGTCTCAGAAAAATAATAAAAAATAAAGGTAGTGAGTTAATGTTGCCATTGCCTTTATGTTAAAAATTGTAATAATCATAGTTAGATATAAATATTATTAGTGACATTTTCTATGTAGTTTATAGTGAATTACAAACATTGGGTTTACAGAACCTCCCTGAGTTAATTCATGATGGCTATTATTATCATCATTTAACAGATGAGGAGACCCGTGTGCAAAAAGGCTAAACAACTTGCTTGAGGTTATTGAATGAGGCAGAAGTTAAGTTTGTAAGATTGAAGACAGGAGTAATGCCCTGCAGTCTAAGGCACCATTAGCTACTATATATCTGCATAATTATAAGCTACATTAAATTTTAGATTTTCTTGTTCAATTATCTCATTGAGAAAAAGAAAGAAAGGATCACCTCTTATTTCCAGTACCCAGAATTAACCACTGTTGTATAAGTACAGTCTCCTTTTTCTCTGTGCCTCCCTAAAAAAAATTTTTTTTGGTGTTTATATGTTATAGATCCTAGATATTTGTGCTTTTAGTTAATAATATGTTTTAACATAATGAAATTTTTTGTATCATTTCAATGACTATGGATATATCATCATTGATTTAACTAGCCGGGGATAATGGCTCGTGCCTGTAATCCCACTTTGGGAGGCTGAGGTGGGCATATCACCTGAGGTCAGGAGTTTGAGACCAGCCTGGGCAACATGGTGAAACCCTGTCTCTACTAAAAATACAAAAATTAACTGGGTATGGTGGCGTACACCTGTAGTCCCAGCTACTTGGGAGACTGAGGCATGAGAATTGCTTGAACCCGGGATGGGGATGTTGCAGTGAGCCGAGATCGGCGGCACTGCATTCCAGCTTGGGCAACAGAGCGAGACTCTTGTCTCAAAAAATAAAAATAAAAAATACAAATTTAAAAATGATTTAACCAGTGTTCCACTGTTGAACATTTCATTGTTTACAGGTGGGCTTTGTGGTTTTTTTCTTTTTTTTTTTAACCATTATAAGCAATTCTTCAGTGAACATCCTTGAAAGTAGAACTTTGTAAATATTATTTCTTTAAGGTGAATTCTAAAAAGGAGAATCTATGGCAAAGGGAATGAGCATATTATAAACAAAGGATTTTTAAGGTGACTAGGAAAAAGAAATCTGTGATATATGTGACAGACAAAGGCTTAATATCACTGATATACACGGAGGTCTAATAAATCAATTATAAAAACAAATGTAGTGGAAGAAAAAATGTACAGAGGACATGTATTAAAAAATCTTATACAAAGTGCTACCGTCTAAAACACAAGTGCCATGGCCTGAACATTTGTGTTCTCCCCAAAATTTATATGCTGAAACCTAAGCCCCATGGTAATGGTATTAAGAAGTCAGGCCGGGCCGGGTGCAGTGGTTCATTCCTGTAATCCCAGCACTTTGGGAGGCCAAGGTGGGCGGATCACAAGGTCAGAAGTTCGAGATCAACCTGACCAACATGGTGAAACCCCATCTCTACTAAAAATACAAAAAGTAGCTGGACGTGGTGGTGCACACCTGTAATCCCAGCTACTCAGGAGGCTGAGGCACAAGAATCACTTGAACCTGGGAGGCAGAGGTTGCAATGAGCCAAGATCGTGCTACTGTACTCTAGCCTGGGAGACAGAGTGAGACTCTGTCTTAAAAAAAAAAAAAAGTGGGGACTTTGAGGTGATTAGGTCATGAGGACAGGGTCCTGTGTTTTAGAGCCCTTATAAAAGAGGCTTGTGGAAGAGCTTGTTTGCCCTTCCACTATGTGCAGTGACAAAGTGCCGTCTATGAGGAACAGGCCTCTTCCAGACACTGAATCTGCTTGTGCCTTAATCTTGGACTTCCCAGCTTCCAGAACTGAGAAATACATTTCTGTTGTTTTTAAACTACTGTTTGTGCTATTCTGTTATAGCAGTCCAGACTGCTAGATTTAAGACAAGTGACTAGAAAACATTCAAAAAGATGTGCAGTCTTGGCTAGTAATCAGAAATTTGCATAAAAGTCACCATTGATAAGTAATTTTTTTTAACCCATCCAAGGTATAGTAAAATGAGCATAGTGGGAATATAGATAAGAACAAGTTTTCTGCTAGGTTGCTTCTATGTATCAACATATAAAACGTGTATATAACTTTTTACCCAGCAATTTCAGCACTAAGAAATTATCCTAGATAGATGTATTAAGATGTCCGTGCAAACATGTTTATTGCGGCACTGTTTACAAGCCTAAAAAACAGGATCAAGAAGATCCCTTGACCTTCCATTTATTCTATTCCATTCTATCCTATTTATATGCGTTATGGTACATTCCTATTATAAATTATTGACCAGCCATTAAAAGATTGATCTTACAGAGTCTCACTTTGTCACCCAGGCCAGAGTGCAATGGCACAGTCTCAGCTCACTGCAACCTCCACCTTCCAGGTTCAAGTAATCCTCCTGCCTCAGCCTCCCGAGTAACTGGGATTACAAGCACGTGCTACCATGCCCAGCTAATTTTTGTATTTTGGTAGAGATCAGGTTTTACCATGTTGGCAAGGCTGGCCTCGAACTCCTGACCTTGGGTGATCCACCCACCTCAGCCTCCCAAAATGCTGGGATTACAGATGTGAGTCACCGTGCCCAGCCAAAAAGATCAGTCTTTTGATTGAAAAGATCAAGATTGTCTGGGCGTGGTGGCTCACGCCTGTAATCCTAGCACTTTGGTAGGCTTAGGTGGACGAATCACCTGATGGATCACCTGAGGTCAGGAGTTCGAGACCAGCCTGGTCAACATGGTGAAACCCCGTCTCTATTAAAAATACAAAACTTAGGTGTGGTGACACATTCCTGTAATCTCAGCTACTCAGGAAGCTGAGGCACAAGAGTCGCTGGAACCCGGGAGGCGGAACTTGCAGAGAGCCGAGATTGTGCCACTGCGCTCCAGCTTTAGTGACAGAGCAAGACTCCATCTCAAAAAAAAAAAAAAAAAAAATCAAGCTTACGTTGAGTGAAAAAAGCAACATATTAACAATAATTACTCAATTAGTATTTATTGAGCATCTATGTTGTTAAGCCCTGGGCATATAT